TAACATAACAAAAACTATACTTATGATTTAATAATTAACCAGAAACCCGAGTGGGATACGTAATAGCGCGTGACAGAAAGTGTGCAAGACACTCCCATCCCAGAGTATCCATGCGCGCGTCTCATTGAAGTCTCCGTGTTGGCCTTGTCAATCGTGCATACTTAATTCTGATCGAGGTTGCCAATGAAGTGAATAATCATCAGGGCCATGTACCCAATCAGTAGATGAAAAGAAGACACACTGATAACGTCCCTGAGATCAAATCATTGCGAACCCGATGTTTATGCGACACAGTAAGGGAGTGGTCATGGGGTATGTGTTTACATTACACTACAGAAATCCTGGTCAATCCAGACAGACACGAGTTGACAAAATATTGTATCGAAGGTCGTTGTGTTGTTGTTGTTGTTGTTGTTGTTGACTTGTTTTTTGTATTTGGATGCTCATAGCATTATATTTTTATATTACAATCAATAATAATTATTATTATTATTATTATTATTGCTACTATTCGTCTCAGTATCTGGGTATGAGGCAATAGCCAGGGTTTTGAAGATACAATTAGTGTCGATCGTAGGTGTTTGTGCGCATGTCCAAACAAAGTGTTTTTCGTTTCCATCAACGACGTACGTATCAAGATACTTAAACCAAAAGGAAAAAAGAATTCTTCAAATAGCGAGACACTTTATGCGATAAGTATTAATCTGAGTGGCATGGGTTTGACTTTTCTTCCCACGCTGTTTTGAAGAACTTCAAAGATCTTTCAATCAGCCTCGTGAGTGACGAAATCATTGTACCAATTAAAAAGATTTCCCGCTATTTTTGTAAAATATCTTCAGCGTATGATTTTAGGCTTATATTAAAATATTCATAACTGAATGCAAACTGTATTACGGGGCGGCTTGTTATTGGCTTGATCACACTGGGAATGTACGGACATAATTAATTTAGCTGAAATCAAGATCAGATTATTTGAACACAGGATTAGATTCAACCTGAGCGGCTGTCGCATAGTCGCATTGTCTCAAATTTCCTATTTTCAGGAGATATTACTATTTTTGTTTCAAGGTAAATTGTAAATATAAATCATCCCATGAAAAGTAAAGAGCGCTCACTTATATTCGAAGGACGCACATTTTAACAAAATAGTACTATTTTTATTTTTATTGCAGAAATATAAATGGTGATATTCGTGCGTATCATTGTTTACGTCACAGAAAAATACGGGATTACGTCAATTTGTTTTCAGTGGTGACGGTAAATAAACGCGGAAGACAACACGGATCGACGAATGGAGATTATTTTCAATATTAAAGAATGTCTGCGCTACGTCGTGTCAAGGTTGATACTATTTCCGAGGTAGATTGTCTTCAAGATATCAAGCGAAATTAAAGTATGGAAAGTAACGCACGTAGGCTGTATCTCGTTTTAAAGTACAATAGAGACCGACGTAGATTCACGCGTAAATGAAATCAGAATAGTTACTATCGTCATTGTGTTTCAAATGTGACATAAAAGATAACCCTAACCAGGGGTTAGTTGGATGAAATAAAAATGACCTCGATCGAGTTATATAGTATACCTACAGAATGAAACTGAATTTGTTTTTGTGGCCCTAACCAAGGTTTGTAGATCACGTGGGAAGGAGTCTAAAACTAATTCTTCGCATGACTGGGAAACTTCATCAGGAAATAATCCTGAATTCAAAATGCACAATAAAACATCAACTGATATTTGCATACTTAAAGAAAAAAAGTTCCCAAAAATGTGCAACTCACTCAATTCCCCTAAAAATAAAGATGTTTCTGTTATATCTGGCTGAAATCACATTGGCAATCAACATGTCGCAACACAAAGGCGACCTTGACGGAAAATGTCACCTTTATACAGATATTTGACGAAATCGTTTGTCAGTGACGCATATATATTTCTCTTAACTGCATGGACTCTATGGCATTCTGAAAATACATCAACAGAGCCTCAGGTGGATCTGAATTTGATATTTTATCTACGGTTGCCATACATACGATATAACAAACGTGTTTTGAACACACACACAATCAATCACACGTACATTCAGTAAAACGCTGGGCTACTACTCATCAGACTGAGTTATCAGACAAGTTACCTACATTTATTTTGAATTATTCTTTAGTATGTATTTCTATATATATTGTTGCAAGTAAATTTGTCGTATTAATCTGATTTATGCTGCACATATATTTAGCTCTGTGATGGTTTATTAACAACAGAGTTAGACAGGTCAGTAAGCTTGTCCTTGAACAGAAGGGCATATGATGACCTCACTCTCACTTCATTTAGGCATCAAATGATCTAGGGTCTTTTCACAGGGTTCACAAGGACAACGAATCGTAAAGTCACACTTTGACTACTTTTAAAACCCACCCTTAACCAAGTAGACCGACGAATCTAATTGGACGATTTCCAGATAAGAGATAAGAACTATGATATATGAATAAAGCGTCTGCATTGAAGGAAAATTCCCATTTTGGTGCATTTTGTATTTGACCAAATCCCGCAAAATTTCAGAGAATTAAATAGACCTCAGATGAAATCCTTTTTACCGCTTCGGGTGCAAAGATGACGTCGGTGCAGACGATTTTAATACATTTCTTAGACGGGAGTCATAGACAATGATCAAACGGTCTTATCCATTTTCTGAGATGGAAATCAAACAGCAAAAATATTGGATTGGTAGTTTTTTGTTATTTTGTTTAAGCACATTACTCACATTAAATTAACTGGGACTTTGGTATATATTATTTTCTAACTCAACACGTTTAACGGCACGAGGACTCGGCATTGACAGACTTTACACAGAATTCTAATATCATGAAAGAAAGCCGAAACAAAACACTTCACTACTTGCGTAAAGAATTTTTTATGATACCATGAAATTCAGTGAGGTCAATGTCATCGTAGAATTACTGAAAGCCCACATGCGACTAATCGTAGTGGAAGGTATTGATCACGTATTCAACGGCCTGAGATTACAGACCGCATAGAAGGCCAGGGTCGCGGCAGCTGATCGCAGTGAACATCGATCACGAACGAATATTCTAAATATGTGAAATTTGTGTATTCTTTTTGAAGTGCAAAACAACTATCTGGTGTGGGTGAACTGATTTCGATGAATCGAATGCAATTTTTTGTTCCATTAAATAATATTTTCGATTATTATACTCAGTGTCCTCGACATATGTTTATAAACCACGCCCTACTTTATCATAAATCGTGCAAAGCCGTCCACGACGATATAAATATATCGTAATTATCATGGAGATTTTGAAAACTACTTTCGACGCCATGTGTAGCATATTGTGACCACGTTGATCAGTACCCGTCTAAACTGTTGTGTTTACGCCGTGCCGAAAAAGTGTTGAGTGAGTCGCATTAATCGAATTCATGATTTAAACATGAATTTGACACTAATGACTTCATTTAATCCAGTGACAGTCTGTTATGTTTTTATTCCAAATAAGCTGTACTTGATAAGTTTTTGTATAGACAAAGCAAAAAAGTATCGAACGCAATGTTTTGTCGTGATTTCCATTTTGAAAACAATCACCTAGACATCAAGGCAAACAATGAACACGTACAACGCACTCATACTATATGAACAAAACATCTACGGGCCGGGCCGTATTTCCCATGGTACCCTTGAACAAAAAATCCCCCAGGGAGCTTCTTCTTAGGAATTCTTGAGTTTTGCGATAGAAATTGGGGTTAAGAAGCGCCTTGCAATCATCTAGCAAGTCATTTTTTTGTTTTCTCAAAAAATAAATATTAATTTTTGATTTATGTTTTCATTTTAGCGTGACTGCGAAATCTAGCCTTATAATCTGGCCTTGTAACACTAAGAGGCCCTAAATTAACTATATATATATATATATATATATATATATATATATATATATGAACGTAAATGAACGTGGCGGTGAAAATT